GATTCCTGCTCTTCTCGATTCGGATGAAGTGAGTCAGGAGGAGCAGATACGTGCTATGCGCGAGCTTTACCAACGAGAAGATGATGCGTCGAAACTTCGGTACGTCATGTGTTGTCAGTCAGGCCCTATTTTTCCCTTTTTCAGTGTTCGGGCTAGATTTTTATCGGGTTTAAATCCGGCTATAGTACCATCTTCAGAAACAGTTTGAAGCCTAGGCAAAGGTTTTGCATAAATTTCGCACGAAAACGTTCTCCAGAAAATTTCTAGTTTTTCCTCACAATTTCGCGGAGGTAAAGGTTTACAGCACATGTGAAACGGTGAAACCATGAAAATTCACCAAACGTAGAAACTTCTCGCTCACGGGAAAAATCCCTCAAGACCGAATACGACCCCCTCCCACCTCTCAAGATGGCGAGCACGTGCGATCCCCCTGGTGGGAGCCGCGCAGCGTTGTGGATAGCGCGCGTGGAACAGGGAAACCGGCTGTGAAATACGACCCTCCCCGCTGAGAATTTCCCAGTGTACGTTGTGCCCTAGTTCGTATAGGAGGGATAGTGCCAATAGATGTTGCTAGTTTTTTGAATGGCCTCGAGATGATTCTCATTTTTCTTCAGGGTGAATCTGGATGCTAATTCGGAGTTTGAACTTGTCACGCAGCTTGAGCTCCCTCCTCGTCCTGAAATCTACAGGGAGTCGCCAGTTACTCAGGTACGTTGTTCTTTTGTGTCTCTGACCGATATTATTTCTGCACAAGAGAAGGCGATTGGGTGTGTGTATAACGATCTCGAATCCATGAAGTGGTCAGATCTAGTATCCTTTCGCAGGCTCGCTTCGCGCTCTCATTTATAACCAGTCCCTTACCTATATGTAGCCATTCACACCCAGAACCTTCGAGAAAGGTTTTCATCTCGTGTAGTGCCATGCTATTTTTCAGGAGATTTGGGATAAATTCAAACTGGCAGATGGGACTGTTGATCCGCCGAATATTCACCACTTGAAGATGAATGTATTCAGAGGAGGTTGTACTTCAGAGATAATTCATTAGAATAATTTGCGATGCTGTTAGTCGTTTACGGTATGAAGCTCGATGTTTTTAGGATTGGACCCGGATTTGCGCAAAGAGGCCTGGAAATATCTGCTGGGTTACAGGGCTTGGGATGAGACAAACAGCCAGTTCGACAAGGTATGTGGACGAGAGAATCGCTTTTTGACTAAATCATCTGATTAAATCAAATTATTTCTCATTAAATCAGTCGAAAGTATCGGGTTTATGCGATGGGGTGAGTAATCGAACAAGGTATTTCCCTGGCTCGTTGGCCTCTTTGCTAGTCCTAAAGAATCTTTGCTGGGAGTAGTTTTTGTGTTTGACTTTGCAAGGGCAAGCGGAGCCCACTTTCATGTATCTGTTCTTGCAAATGTGCGAGAACACTATAATGATGTTGGCGTTGGAAATGAGCCGAAACCTCTTTTCATTGTGAAGTCAGGTTTTTGAGAGAGAGGTATAATGAAACGGTAGCGTTCTGGGCCTTTCCTTGAAAGCGCTCGGATCGCTCAAAACACTGAGGAAGCTGGCGTTTCTCTCAACAGGCTAGATCGATACTTTACTCTCCTTTTAGTCCGAAGCGATCAAAAAGCCGGCGAAAAGTATGAACGCAGCCTTACTGCGACTATCATAAGGTGTGGTTGTGTAATTATATCTTCTTATCTGCTCGAGTAACCATTCTCCTTACTCGAATCCTATTGATTAGTATTTACGAGGAGTAACTGTACTGCCTCATGCCAAGTTTCTCCACATCTTTCTTACTCCTGTTATTCACCATTCATTGAGAACCATTTTAATGTATATGCTGTATTCGCAGTTGCTACATGGTTACCATAGCAGTTGATTCATTTTCAGAAGAGAGCTAAGCTAGCAAAGGAGTACGAGAGATTGAAGGCTCAGTGGTTATCGATCAGTGAGGATCAGGAGTCACGTTTCTTCAGTTATAGCCAACGAAAGGGTCTTGTAGGTGGGTTTTTGATTTTTTACAGCCTTATAACTAGGATTCCCCCAGCGAATGCCTTATGATTGTATTATGCTTGACAGTCTCGCGGTGGTGAGACTCATATTTATTTCACTTCTTGATGGGTCGCCAAAAAGTTGCCACCCGAAGTGGTCTAATCAAGTGTGTGAAGTAAGACTTTTGTAAGAAGGTAAATACAGCTTTAGGCTGTTGGAAAAACCTTTGTCAGATGACCACGTTTTTCAACTGAAGATTGTGATGTCAAAAGTAGTTGAGAAAGCTGGGAAACTGACAAATCTCGATCATTTTCATCGTTTATTTATTTATTTATTTATTTTACACTGCAACAGTGTGCCCTAGAAATTAGTAAAGCAATACTCAAATACTCATTTATGAATGAAAGCCAATATGATGCATGTGGGGCTTGATAGGGAGCTGGTTTTGATTGCTGAAGAAGAAAAAAAAAGAGCTAGATTGTTGGTCTTGTGTTGGCAAGTTTTGGTACAATTGGTTTCAGTAGTGTATCAGCACTTTGTTGGAATTGATCACGTTGTTGAGTACTGAAGTTGTTGTGACAACATAGAAAATAACCCGTTCATATGCTCCGGTGCCTGGTCCAAGTGTCCAGTCAAACCAGGCAGAGATAGAGATACAGCAGAAGATCAAATACCTTAACATGTGAGATCACACCCCAACAGAAGTCATTTTATATTCGAATTATTTACAGAAAAGGATGTTGCGCGTACTGACCGATCTATGGAATTCTTCAGTGGTGATGGAAATCCGAATTTGGTAATGCTGCAGAACATCCTGATGACTTATGTCATGTATAATTTCGACCTTGGTATGTTTTCTTGAGGTTATTCATAGTGGGAAGGAGTTGTTTGATCAGTATCCGTGATGGAGCGGGGTATAGGGGCTTTATTTCGTAACTGGTCACAAAGAATCAGTTAGATATGGGTGGATATAGCATCAAAACTGGATCAGTAGATCGGCTGTTTCCCGAGAACAGTGGGTAGTAAGTCCCATCATCGCCAAGAACAGAATGAGATAACTATTTTGTTTCCACAAAATCGCCTAACAACCCATAAACATAGCTGTTACCATCAATTTTGCGCAGTGGTTTGCAGCTGCGAATTCGCAGTTGTACGAGGCTAAATGAAATACCTTTTACTGTAATTATACCAATTTTTTACAACTACCTAGACACCTTTTAAGTCGCCACCGACTCAGCAAAAACAGGGTATGAAGCTTGCAAAAATGAATTTGTACCGGGGTTCCGTCACCTGTCGAAATCAGGCCAAGATCGGGTTTACTAAAGCCGCGAGTTTGAGTTCACCACCAAGCACTGTATCCAGTTAAGCCAATAGTTTCGTCGCTGTAATAATTCCTTGGTTCAGTATTTTTCTTCTTCAGGTTATGTCCAAGGAATGAGCGATTTTGCATCACCGTTGCTTTATGTGATGGGTAACGAAGTGGACGCATTCTGGTGTTTCGTGGAATTAATGAAGAAAATTGTGAGTTCCTTCGAAATGTTTCGTTACGGGTCATGGAATGAACGGAAAACATTTGACTTAAAACAAAAACGGCCAGTTGCCGAAATTGTTCATATATTTTCACCCCCGAATCTAATCTTTGTCAGGCCTTTCTAGAGAAAGCTCCATATAAGAAAATGCAAGTTGAAATCAAATATGTGGCCTTGAATAGTGAATACTTAGCTTTTTTTATTTACTTTCAGCAACGGAACTTTGAGAAGGACCAAGCTGCCATTAAGCTTCAAATGTATCAACTTCGTGATCTTGTAATGATCGTGAATCCACAGTTGGCGAACTATCTAGGTAGTTTGCTTATGATTACGTTCTTTGATCAGTCCTACTTTTGGAATTTATCTGAATTCACTAATTTTTTGATCCTGGTCACAATATGTACAATGATGATCCGTGCGAACAACAGGGCGTGTTACAGAACATACTATGAATAAAGCACTGTGAAGCGTTTTTCTCCACCAATGATGCCATCCTGAGCCCGTAGCGATTGGGGGGAAGGGCCGTTCTGGCTTCGCCAATTCACGCCTCCAGGCCCTATCGTTTGCAGGAAGCATCACTATACGTTATTGAACTTCTCATCAGTTTTTCGAATGTTTCTTATTCAGAAAGCCACCAGTCAGATGACATGTACTTCTGTTTCCGCTGGGTTCTGGTGTGGTTCAAGCGAGAATTATCCTTTGCAGATACATGCAAACTTTGGGAGGTAGGTTTATGTCCTGGTATTCATGGAAGCATGGATATGAACAGGTTATTGAAATTGTTAAAATACAGGTTCTATGGACAGGACAGCCATGTCCCAACTTCCTGCTCCTGATTTGCATTGCCATTCTCGATGGAGAGATGAATACAATTATCGCCAATAAATTTGGGCTTACAGAAATATTGAAGGTTGGTCTTTTAATAAATTCCGTGTTGTGCCAGAATTTATTCTTTTTCGCCAGATGAGGTTGTTAGATGGAACATTTGTCGGCCCAGCGTCACGCCCATCGCGTCCTCTTCGGCCTAACCATAAGCATGGCTCAAAGCTTTTAATTTGTAAACCACTCGACCAAGCTTCCCTTTTCCAGAGCTTCCGAAGCCGAGAACACTTGTACAACTCGCTAATGATAATACTCCACTCACCAAAGGTCCCTCAAAAAAGTGATACGTAGCTTACGCTGTTTTAAGGCTGCCTTCATACTTTGCAACCGAGAGATTGAGGGATTTGAGCGTTCTAAGAGATCGTCGTCCCTCAGTCAACGGATCGCTCAATCTTCCAAATCGCCGAATCTATCAGATCCTCAGATCGCTCAGTCTTCGTAGTAGCCAGATTTCCGGTCGCGCAAGCTGTCAAATAGCCGAGAATACGAAGTCGCCAAATCTGGTCAGGCGCAAAGTATGAAGGCGGCCCATTTAAACATTCATGTTCGAGTCATTGTTGTCAGTCAGTGTTCTCGATACTACGCTGGAAACTCTAGAGGGGAGAAGGTGCGGTAAACTTCTTGTTGAAATCTTCAGTCCCTGTTTTAAGGCGCTTGAGAAGATGAGCACGTCAAAAATTGGGTCAATGAAGGTTCCCTCTGAACCCACGTTGGGCAGAAATAGATGAATGAAACCCTTTAGTTTTTAGTTTCTATTCATAGGTGTGCTCTAATAATATCCTCGATTCTTTTCTCCGAATAGCCCGGAAATTCTTTCAGCACGTGAACGATCTGTCAATGCATTTGATCCTCGATGATGTGATGACGGCAGCGGAAGCTATTTTCCATCAACTATCCGCAAGTCAGGATAAGCTTCCGTCACATATATGTGAATATCTCAATCTAGGAGAATTGGCAAATGATTGACTGTTTCACAGATTTTTTTGATGTTGTAGTTTGTCAATTTTTTTATTAGTCCTCATTTTCGTCATATCTTTTCTCCAGTTGATGTACATACGTATAGATTGCTTCTATCTCTAAGTGCCGGTCAGATTTCTTTTTATTTCGTGGGATTATCGGCTTTGTTGCAATCGAAAAGGCGCGCGAATGGACTAAGTAGGTGAGGACATTCAAAGGTTTCTAGGACAAGACTGGGTTGCCGCAATGGATATAGAGATTTCCCCGTCGGGAATCCCCTAAAATCTCTCTTGGCAGACTTGCCCCTGGACTGTTTTGAGGAGAGCTGCAGGCCCTATTTGACGGTGAAAGTCTCACTTTGTAAATATATTCGATTGTAAGAAGGTCGAATTTGTACATGTTTAAGGGGTATCTAGTAGGTACTTTGTCTCGAGAGCGTGATCCAGTTCAAATCATAATTTTTAGTGAATGTAATTCATATTTGTAGCCGCTAATCGATTACGTACTTTGGGCGCCATTCGGCTTGGAGAGGGCATTCGCACTTCGGTAGTTCCTCTCGTTAATTCATGTTGAATAACAGGTCTCATTTTGGTGAAACTTGTAAACTCCTGCGAAGTAAGCCATTTTGTGGCAAGAATTCACGCGTTACACGTTTTCGCAAGGTGGTCCGTACAAGCTTCTCGGGTATCATCCGGTGCCTCCACCAGGCCGAGTTGCCCCCATACCTTGTATATAAGATTATGGGACATCTCCCTTACCATTCTTGAACGCCATGCTACTATGCATTTTTATACAAACCATATTATGACCTGATCCTTTCCGCAGAAGAAGAAAATCATACAGTTTTGGTTATTTCACAAGTTTGAGGGCAAGATTTTGCTCTATTCTTCGATATTTGTTCATCACTTCCGTACTTGACCACGTTTTTCCGTTTTCCTGTGCTGTTCCATGTGCTGGTTTTTGGTACGTGTTGTTAGCAACTGGTTTAGGTTCGTTTCAATGGCATAAAGAACCCGAAAGACCACTGGAAAATTATTTTTAACGGAGTAACCTTTTTTTAATGGATGGAAAGAGATACATTTGCGTTCCGGTTGTTGATTTGCATAGCATAAGAATCACTCTCTACTCAGCCCCCTTGGCGCCTTCAAATAGGGCTTGTGAAAGAATTTTCGATTTTAGCTGACTGGATTTTTGGGCGCTGTCCGGCTTGGGGGCACTTTAGGGAATTTCTCTTACTAAATCCTGTCAACTTACACATTTTACCTTGGTCAGACCTGCGGAATCTTGCCAAATGTGAACGGAGTTTGCTCCACGGGAATTCACAGCTCTCCACAAGGTGCATCGGCAGTGATATGGGAATTAGCGAAATGCTCCACTAGGCCAAACTACGCTGGATTTCATGTCAGATTTAGTAAAGGAGTTTCAGCTCCCTGAGTTGGCCGTTGATTCAGTTCTCAGTAATCTAACCGTTTTTTTTCGTAGAGAAAACTTTGATGATCAGGTTAGTTTGATGTCGAGTTCCGTTCGTCGATCAAACTTCGCCCTCTCAATTTTTTTTCATTTTCCGTTTCACTGGGCCAATTTGTGGACTCCCAATTCACCAGTCTCGTATCAGAGAAATCAACCTTCCATCTATTTCTGTTCTGTAAAACAGGTGTAGCATGATAAGTGTATAGAAACTGATGACACTATGATATTGTAGATACTTCCATAGCTGAATAAATATTTTCTGAACTGTGTGTAGAACTAGTTGTGATGTTTCTCGTTAACAATCGATATTAGTACTGGGATGAATTGATCGTACTCCTAAGAACGGCTGTTTGGTCCATCACATATCAGAAAATACTACTGGTGTGTTCTATAGTTCCACATGGGGGACGGACTTTATCAGTAAGTCTGGAATCCTGGATATATGTAAGGAAGGAAAAACTCCGAATCTTACATGCATGCAATGGCTCAAAGTGGTTCGAGACGGTCTGTCGGCTCTTGAAGCGTGGGCGCAGAACGTATTCTCTCGGAACGGGTATGATTGTTCATGACAAATATCCGAAATCCTCAGGGGCAAAGCTCTTGAGGTTCTAGTTGAACCGAGAAGTTTATGTGCCACTAGTACGTTGCACAATTGTAGACTCGGTCGCTCATTGCTCACCAGGGAGATGCAGATAGTAGTTTCAGCTGTTGTAGCATTTTTCAAAATGGATTTCATGGCGCTAGTAACTACAGGGTGTAGACGCTTGCAAGTATACCAAATCCTGCAAACTGTATACACGTGGATACCGCATAACCTTGTATACATGGTGTAGACCTTGCTATCACCTGTCAAGCATCTTGAGAATTCCTGTCTTTTTTTTGTGAAAATATTTAAAGTAAACAAGCACCTTGCTAACGAGAACTGACAAAAGAAGCTACTAAAAGTGCGAAATGCCTCTCCCTTGAAGCGGAACCGCCCCGATTTTCGTAATTGTTCGGTCCAACACGTTTGAGCTCCTTCGCTTTTGTCACGGATCGAAAGCATTTCGTCTTCTCGAACACATCAGTAAAAACGTGGAAAGGTGTCATGTTCAGCTTGCAAAAGCCTCTGTTCATCACACAATAATTTTTTTAATTTCTAGTTTTTCTTTGTTTTTATCACAGTCATGTCATTTTCATGCGGAACAGAGCTTAATTCTCCATGAAGTAAATGCACAGTACTGAGGCTAAAAAAACAACTGAATTTTTTATGCTTGCATTTTTGTATGACAGTTACTGGCTGGTGTCAAAAAAACAGATATTCTCACAATGTGACCGTTTTCACGGTATCGTAAGTGAATAGCTATCAGTATTCTATATCGTTAGGTGCGCCCACAACGTGACTGTTTTGTGGCGGTTTAGATGCAGCTCATTCTGGAATAGGATTCAGAAAGACAATTCATGTACCTGGTGTTATTGCAAATCGATTATATGGGGTCTGATATAAGCTCCCAGGCTATAGGAGACTTAACTGTAAGCGAATGGAACACATCTTGGAGAGGTCCTCGATCCGCACAAAGCGTAGTTCGGATTGATGGGGTCATTCGCTGGCTCCCATCGATTTATTGTCGATGAAACCTGTACATTACAGTAAAACATTGCGATGGCAGGTGCTTCGTTTACATTTGAAATGTCTGCAGGTCTCATCAAGATGAGAGCTGTAATTGTAAATGTGAGAGCAGGAACCAACAAAAATGCTCAATGCCCTCTCTCCTCTCAAGCCCGAAGAGAGCCTCAGTTTTACCAAATGAAGCGTTCCGAAAGAAATTTTCGGCGCAATTTGGCGAGCATTTTGAGCATTTTGCAATTCCGCTGCTTCACTAGTTTAGGTTTACAAGACTCACTTTGGTGAAACCTGAGCTAGAGCAAGCTCGTCGAGCTACTATGGTAAACGCTGTCAACCCTTGTAAGCTCATGAAAAGCTTTTACTCAGTGATTCTTCAAACATTTGTACCGAAATAGCTAGAGAACGTGGCGAACGAGTGGCGACACCATCCACGACCCTGCTTTATTACGATGCTCCTTCCTGCTGATTGAAGGTAAGTAAACGGGTATGTGCCGCGCCTGAAAAGTAGTCTTCCCTGGCCTCACGAGTATCTTCCCTAACCTTTTAAACTTGAGTGAAAACCATATAAGTTTCGCTGCTTCCGTCGACAAATTGATGCATATCGATAATTTGTCGCACACTATGCCGCGCGAGACGACGCAACAAATTAAGATTGTATTACCCGTCTTGTCTTTCTGAGTAGACGCATCGAACGTTCTAGTGGGCAGCACCAGATGGGCACGCCCACGTAAATGGAAGCGAGTTATGGCTTTGTGGAAAAGTCTTTTAAAGAATGTAAAAAGGAAGGTAACTCTTCAAATCTAAGGTAAGGAGACGACCTGAGGGCGCGTTTGATTTCCTCATGAAAGAAGCTATATGTTGAGTGTTAGACAGTTTTCTCTGCATGGCCTTCAAACGGTGTATATTTAGGAACAGATGGTAAGGACAAGCATCAGATCACTTCTGTGACCTTCATTTCCTACTTTAATTTGTTCAAATATTTGAAACCGAGCAATGGATCAGGTAGTGTCGGCTATGGCCTCTTTTCGGGATTTTCAGGCAATGCTACGTCCACGTAGTCACTTGTAAATTATTTGGCTCAACCCAATAAATCCTGAGCATCGGATTGCATCAGCATTGTGTACTTCGGCAGGAGTTTCCCTGTACCAGCTGGATAGAGGAAGGCTAGGGCACGTCGGGAAGGTGGAAAGGCCTTAGATGACCGTAATATGCGCACAGCTCGTAGTGAGCTGCTGCACGCCGATAACGGACGCCCAGCCGAAGTCAGTCTTTCGCCATAATCTAGCGTGCATATATCACAAAATAATGGCTGAGGTGATGTAGTGGGATGTGGCGTCGCTTGCGATGCGCAAGTTCCTTGAAGTCAAACCCCCAATCGGCTCAAGCGCAGGCCGAGCAAACCACGTACCCTCCGGGGCACCGTGAATTGTTACCAGATTGTCTAGGTGAGTGAGAACCCTCATTTGTGCAAGCGATTGGTCTCCGAAGGTTATTGTGTTGTTTACATCACCTTTAGATCTCTTCTACGATTTTGAGTGGAGGAAGAATGCCTGACGCAGAGCAGACGAGGTTGATTTGGAAAGAGGGCCCCTACAAATCTTTTCCTCTGGTGCGCAGCATAGCCCTATTTTCTCCCGAATTCCACCTTCCCCCATTCGCCAAAAAAAAACACTGTGCCGTCAAGCGGGGGAATTCAGCGCATTTCGGAAAACGAAAAACGGGGAATTCAGCAGCCGAAAGAAAATCTCTCACGGCTTGAAGGCCTTCCGCAGAGACAAATACGACCCCCTCGCCTCCTCCCAGCGGCCAAATGCGAACCCCTCCCTAGCTGGGGATCCCAGCATATGACGTGATGTGTTTGTGGAAGCTGTCTCTTTGATTCTAGGGCACCTCCTATTGGTGCTTCTCTTTGCCTCTGCTACTATTGCCAGTT